AAATCAACCCCTATGTATCTGCTAACTTTGTGATATTTCTATTCCTACAGGACTTACAGCTTTTACCCTCACAAATATTTTTTCATCTGAAAAATATCTGATTTTATCATGTGTGACAATTTTAAAGTTACTATAATAGTTAAAGGACAATTTTTTAAGTGTATATACAGGCGAAACTCGAAAAATTTAAATATTGTGCAAAAGTTCATTTAATTCAGTAATGCAACTTAAAAGGTGAAACTAATATATGAGATAGACTCATTACATGCAAAGCAAGATAGTTCAAGCCGTGGTTTGTCATAATTGTGATATTATGGCTTACAGCTCATGAAAACCCCAAATCCACAATCTCAGAAAATTAGAATATTGTGAAAAGGTGCAATATTCCCACTCTAATCCCAGCTAATTAATTAAGCCATAACACCTACAAAGGGCTCCTGAGCCTTTAAATGGTCTCTCAGTCTGGTTCAGTAGGAATCACAATCATGGGAAAGACTGCTGACCTGACAGTTGTGCAGAAAAAACCATCATTGACACCCTCCATAAGGAGGGAAAGCCTCAAAAGGTAATTGCAAAAGAAGTTGCATGTTCCCAAAGTGCTGAATCAAAGCACATTAATAGAAAGTTATGAGGAAGGGAAAAGTGTGGAAGAAAAAAGGTGCACAAGCAGCAGGGATGACCGCAGCCTGGAGAGGATTGTCAGGAAAAGGCCATTCAAAAGTGTTGGGGACTTTCACAAGGAGTGGACTGAGGCTGGAGTCAGTGCATCAAGAGCCACCACACACAGACGGATCCTCTTGTCAAGCCGCTCCTGAACAACAAACAACGTCAGAAGTGTCTTATCTGGGCTAAAGAAAAACAGACCTGGTCTGTTGCTCAGAGGTCCAAAGTCCTCTTTTCTGATGAGAGCAACTTTTGCATCTCATTTGGAAACCAAGGACCCAGAGTATGGATTAAGAATGGAGAGGCACACACTGCAAGATGCTTGAAGTCCAGTGTGAAGTTTCCACAGTCTGTGTTGATTTGGGGAGCCAAGTCATCTGCTGGTGTTGGTCCACTGTGCTTCATTAAGTCCAGGGTCAACGCAGCCGTCTACCAGGAGATTTTGGAGCACTTCATGCTTCCTTCCGCAGATGAGCTTTATGGGGATGCTGACTTCATTTTCCAGCAGGACTTGTCACCTGACCACACTGCCAAAAACACCAAAACCTGGTTCAAAGACCATGGGATTACTGTGCTTGATTGGCCAGCAAACTCGCCTGACCTGAACCCCAAAGAGAATCTATGGGGCATTTGCCAAGAGAAAGATGAGAGACATGAGACCGTACAATGCAGAAGAACTGAAGGCCGCTATTGAAGCATCCTGGTCTTCCATAACACCTCAGCAGTGCCACAAGCTGATAGCTTCAATGCCACGCCGCATTGAGGCAGTAATTGCTGCAAAAGGGGCCCAAACCAAGTACTGAGTACATATGCATGCTTATACTTTTCAGAGGTCCGATATTGTTCTATGTACAATCCTTGTTTTATTGATTGCATGTAATATTCAAATTTTCTGAGATTGTGGATTTGGGGTTTTCATGAGCTGTAAGCCATAATCATCACAATTATGACAAATCACAGCTTGAACTATCTTGCTTTACATGTAATGAGTCTATCTCATATATTAGTCTCACCTTTTAAGTTGCGTTACTGAAATAAATGAACTTTTGCACGATATTCTAATTTTTCAAGTTTCACCTGTATATTTTACTATGTTTATTCTTTATTTTAAAAATACACAATTGGTACAGAATGCATTCATGATACCGGTGAGCATTCTAGGTTTTCTAAAAAGACGGCACAGCAGAACCCATTTACCTTCAGATTATCTCTCTCCGACTGCACCCTATACTTTCCAAATGAACAGAATAGGTAGGTAGAGGCAAGAATGAAACACATCACTCGAGCAATTGACTTGTATGTGCATATTTGCTCTTGATCTATTGACTTGTAGACATATAATTAGAGATACCCAGCTCTGTAAATAATGGGTTTTTTTAACACAGAAGTTAATATGTGAAAAGAAGCCAACAGCTCCACCTATTGACAATAAATTTTACTATGACATTTTAAAATACAATATTTCATATTTACCCAGCTAAAACATTTTGAAAACAATTTCTTTGTCTTGAGCATAGTAAACAACAAATACATACATAAAAGATATACTAAAACACTACACGCATTACCTTTTACCATGTTCAGCTTTTGTGAGAATGACGTACTTGTTGCTTTATTGATAAAACCAGCATGTGTAAGCTGCATATTCATCTTTTACACTTTCATATATACAAGAATACAAATGAACCACAATGCACATTTAGTCAGAAATGGCACTGCATGAAGAGTCATTACCAAAACTATATTTCATTGTCAAGAATGTGGTATTCCTGTTCCCCTGCTGAAACCAACAACATAGTGCACATAATACTGTGCATTGTACAGTACCTTTACTGTACTAATCTTATGTAATATTCCTGTATACATTTTTTTAAGAATGTGAAACTATATAACCACTTAAGCTAAGGTTTACCCCCTTCATGACTGGACAATTTTTGCTATTCAGCACTGTGTACTTTACGCAATTGCACTGTACGCAACACTGTACCCAAATGAAATTTATGTCATTTTTTTCACACAAATAGAGCTTTCTTTTGGTGGTATTTTATCACCACTGGGGTTTTTTTTTATATTTTATTATATAAATTATAAATATTTTATACTTTCTGTTACAAAGCACATCCAATAAAAAAAATCCTAAAATCAAATTTCTTCATAAATTTAGGCCAAGTGTATTCTGCTGCATGTCTTTGGTAAAAACAAATCCCAATAAGTGTATAATAATTGGTTTGTGCGAAAGTTATAGCATTTACAAACTATGGTATCTATACTGGAATTTATGCAGCTATGATGCTGTACTGGCAATGGCAGTGATTAGTGACATATAGTGTGACTGTGATAGTGTGGCGGGCAATCTGGTGCTAGCTGATGCTAGTATGGAGGGACACTAACTGACTAACTGACATCAATAGTGTCACTAATACAGTGATTAGTGCCAAAACTGTACACTGTCACTGTACTAATGACACTGGCTGGGAAGAGGTTAACATCTAGGGGCAATCAAAGAGTTAACTGTGTGCCTAACAATGTGTAATGTGTGTAACATGTGCTGCTTTTAATAATCGAGGTGGATGTATTTTCTTCCTGCTGTTAGTAAACACAGGGCTCTGTACCGTGATTTGCTACAACTTATCAGCAGGTCTTGGCCATAAATCATTGCCCAGGACCTGCTGACCAACTAAATGACAACACAGATTGAGCAGGGGGCACACATGCACCCTCTACCCTGACAAACTGGATAATGTACATTTACGTAATTCAGCGCAGTGGATCATGAGCGGCCAGCGGGCTACCTGCCCACAGTATATGTGGGTGGTCTTATAGTGGGTAACCTCTGCCAGGTGCTTATTGCTGTTTCCCTGCTGTGAAGATTCACCCTATTTGTTCTGGTGAGCATTTTCATCACTACTGGCAGTGTAATGGTCCGGAGATTTGAAACACTCACTCTTCTCCCTCTTCTGCAGAGCTTCTGGGAAGGATCAGAGCAATTCTGATTGGTCATTTCCAGCACAGAGCACAGCTCTGATCCATCCCGGAAGCGCTGCAGAAAGAAGAATGACAACAGTGGGGTACTAATACAGCGGCTTCATGGGCACTGACAGCTCATTACTCACAGAGGTAAGTACAGTGGGGACCAGGGGGTTGAGTGGGAAAGCTGTAGGCTGTTAGCTCAGCTTTTCATTTATTATGAAAAGGTGAACTAACCCTTTAACCTCCTTGGCGGTATGATTCTTTCTGATTTTTGGCGCTGAAAGCGGTACCATTTTTTTGCATGGAAATATGTAGTTTTTTTATTGTAGGCCTGTAATTCTTAGGAATAACTCACTGATATCTGTCCGAACAAGAGTCTAGTAAACATCCCGGGTAGGATAAAATTTGAAACACGTAATCATAAATTATAATTTAATAAATAATCATAAAAAAGAATAATATAATAATAATACATTTAATTCAATAATATAATCAAACCAAAAACACTGAAATGTGAAATATAGCGCCAAGTTAGCACATTGCTGAGCAAAGTCGCAAAATCGTTTTCAGTGTCTGATGACGAATTTCCCCACAAATCATTATCACTCAATTCTGCAAGTGGTTCTGATTTACTATTGCTGTTCTCCTAGCTGGTCTAAAACTGCTTTTGACCTAAAGGGACACTTTTTGGATGCCATGGACATTTCTCAGTTTCCAGGCAGAAAGAACAGACAAAATGCAGGCAGGGCACAGGACAAAGCATTAGGGACAAGATGTATGTGAAATTGGTTGAGACAGCAATGTTTTACTATGTAAAATGTAAAAAAAAAAAAAAAGACATTTTTTAAAATTTTTAAATTTCCCGCCGCCGACGGCGCCCGTACGTCCCAACGTCACAGGGACAGGACACAGAAGCCGGATGCTGGCATCGGCCGGAGGAGATGGCCGGGGACGGACTGCAGGGGACACATCGCGGGAGCGCAGGGTAAGGTAAGTGAAGAACGAAATGCGGAGCAGTGCCGCATGGTATTCCCGAGTGGAGCTCGAGGTTACCGTTTGTGGTACTGAAATGTTACCCCGAGCTACACTCGGAAATACCGCCAAGGAGGTTAACCACTTCCTGTCTGGCCCATGTATATAAATGGCCGGACGGGAGCATTGCAGGAGCGGGTGGCCGTTTATAAATATCCTCCCCGCTCCTCGCCTGTACGCACGGCTCCGCGATCCGGTTCCTGCTGTGTCCGACACTGATCGCTGTACAAGACCTCTGTGTGAGGTACCAATCATGTGATCACTGATCGGCCAATCAGTGATCACATGAACAGTAGTAAACCAGATGTCACTTCTGACATCATTGCTTACTACATGTGAAATCTGTCACATGGTACAAGGCTATTCACAACAGCCTTGTATCATGTGACAAGCTGTGACCAATCACAGCTTGCACAGTATTTCTCAATGGCTGCAAGAATGCAGCCAGAGAGAAGGAGAAATTATTGCTTTTACAGCTTTTATGGGTGTAAAAGCAATCAGTGTAAAAAAAAAAAAAAAAATCTTCATCACCCCCCACAAGTAGTACACTGTCACTATGGTGACACTGTACTGCTAGGGTAACAGTATGTTAAAAAAAATAATAATAATATAAAAAAATAAAATGAAAATGTCAAAAATGTTTTTGAAAAATTATAATTTTTTGGTTATAAACTAATTTGGGTTATTTTTTTTTTTTTTTTACTAAAAAGATAGCTGAATACATTTTGGCCAAGATTTATGAAGAAAGATTATTTATTTGCAAAAATGTTATAAGAAAAACACTTTCTTTTCCAAAATGTTTGGACTTTTTCATTTATATAGCAAAAAAAAATAACAATCCCAGTGGTGAATAAATACCACCAAAAATAAAGTTTTATCTGTCTCAAAAAATGCTTAAAAATTCATATGGGTTCATGGAGAGATTGCAGACACTTATTACATGCTTAATAACATGCCCAGTAAAAGTTGGCTGGCATGTACTATTGACAGGTGTATCACCTAACCTACTTTGTCGTTTACGTACTTCATGCACTTGTAACTTCCTCTTTTTTTTCTTATCTTCTTTGTTATGTTAATATACTTTTATGTATTGTACTTTTCAAAAGTGCTTTGTTTTTGCTGACAATATCACTTTTAAAGTGTGCTGTTGTTTTACTGTCTACTCATGTCAAAATCGTTTGTAAACAAAAAATTCATATGGGTACAGTGTTGCATAGCGCGCAATTGTCATTCAAAGCGTGATAGCGCTGAAAGCTGAAAATTGGCCTGGACAGGAAGAGGGTGAAAGTGTCCGGACTGGAAGTGGTTAAGCAAGAATCAGCAAAATATGTTTGTTCGGTGAACAGTTCTCTGTCACCCTGCACATCTACTGTCCTTCTTCTCTGTGCAAAACAAGGTGCACTGCATGCCTCCCCAGGACATCACCGCTTTGGGGATGGTGTAGAGCTGTAGCCAGTACACAGGACTAACATTCCTGTATGACCATGCCGGCAGGTGTTACTCTATATTTATCCTGTGTAGTGTGTACACAACATTGTAGAAAGCACGCTGGTTTCCTGCATCCCAAGGGAGCAAGCAGCGGCTACATGGAAGGAGAGGAGCCCAGGACTGGTGCTTCCATTCAGCCCAGTCTCGGGGTACTGCCGCCCCCACCCTAGCCCGGAATTGCTTCCGCACCTGTCGGTGGCTGTTGTTGACTCAGGAGGCCGCCCCACCCCTTCCAGGCAAGCTCTGGAGCCCAGCTCAAAGATTTGGCAGGTTCTTGGACTGTTTTCTTTCCCTTAACAGTCTGGGCAGGTGCCAGCCTAGGAACAAGGGAGTCAGTATACAGAGAGTGAGTGAGAGAGAGCTGGGAGGAGGGGAGAGGAAGGAGACGACGAGTGGGAGAGCAGAGGGGGTGAAAGTGTGAAGAGAGGAAATGGACAAAGTCAAAACTGCAAAAAAGCACGAGACGAGTTCAGAGATGTAGAACATGAAGGCTGGTCACCTTGGGCACAATATTCCGTGGCACTGGATGTCCTGTTTGAGATATAAGTGATCCAAGAATAACATTGGTAACCAGAAGAAGGCAACCAGTAGTCCTTGACCACTTTCTGGCTGGTCCTGATATGAAAAGGGAACCTGTAACTAGAATCTCTCCCCATATATTTTACAACAACCATCACACAGCATGGCAGTGCACGGGACTGGGGATAGTATAGGAGTACATCCTGCAGTCAGAACACCCCCTGCTGTATACACGTTTACTACAACTACACAGGTATGGATTGCAGAAGCTCAAACTGAACAGATCCAGATTTACAAATCTCAGTTTAAAACCATTGACAGTTGTGAGCAGTCGGGAAGTGACACCTCCTGACATGAAATAGATCACCCTACATGTAGATTATCCCACTCTTCACAACTCAGTGGGTTTTGTGTTTTAAAACCACTTCATGTCCGGACACTTTTACCCCTTCCTGTCCAGGACAATTTTCAGCTTTCAGTGCCGTCACACTTTGAATGACAATTGCGCGGTCATGCAACACTGTACCCATATGATTTTTTTAGCATTTTATTGAGACAGATAAAACTTTATTTTGGTGGTATTTATTCACCGCTGGGATTTTTATTTTTTTTGCTATATAAATGAAAAAGTCCAAAAATTTAGAAAAAAAGTGTTTTTCTTATAAACTTTTGCCAATAAATAATTTTTCTTCATAAATCTTGGCCAAAATTTATTCAGTTATCTTTTTAGTAAAAACAAATAACCCAAATTAGTTAATTATAATTAATTATAATTTTTTACATTTTTATTTTTTATTTTTTTTTATATTATTATTTATTTTTGTTTTTTTTTTAACATACTGTCACCCTAGCAGTACAGTGTCACCATAGTGACACTGTACTACTTGTGGAGGGTGATGAAGATTTTTTTTTTCTTTTACACTGATTGCACGTGACTAAATGGTTAGCCCCTCCACCTGGCAGTACTAGTGTCATTAGTTCAAATCCCAGCCATGGCACCACCTGTCTGGAGTTTGCATGTTCTCCCTGTGCATGCATGTGTTTCCTCTGGTTACTCCAATTTCCTCTCACACTCCAAAGACATGCTGGTAGGTTAATTGGCTCCTATCTAAATTGGCCCTAGTATGTGTATGTATGAATGTAAGTTAGGGACCTTAGAGATTGTACACCCCTTGAGGGTTAGGGACTGATGTGAATGTACAATATATTTATATATAATGTGTTGTGTAAACTGACAGCACTATATAAGTACCATAAATAAATAAATTGCTTTTACACCCATATAGGCTGTAAAAGCAATAATCTCTCCTTCTCTCTGGCTGCATTCTTGCAGCCATTGAGAAATATTGTGTGAGCTGTGATTGGTCACAGCTTGTCACATGGTACAAGGCTGTTGTGAATAGCTTTATACTATGTGACCTCTGTGATCATTCACAGATTTCACACGTAGTAAGCAATGATGTCAGAAGTGACATCTTGCTTACTACTCTTCATATGATCACTGATTGGCGGGCACCAGATCGCGGTGCCGCATGCTCCCAGGGAGTGCGCACAATCCAAAATGGCGGGCGCCATTTATGAATGCCAACCCGCCCCTGCACTGCCACCGTCCGACCGTTTATATACAGCGGCCGGATGGCAAGTGATTAAAGGCATACTCCACCTTTTGCAAAAAAGTTTATAAAAGCCTCCACATTAATTAAAAAATACATGTGCGCTCATTTGATTTCTACTTAGAGCTTGCAGAACATTGCAACTTAGATCAGTGCATTGTTGGGGCAATACACAGGGGTAGATTTACTAAAGACAAATAGACTGTGCACTCTGCAAGTGCAGTTGCACTCGTGCTCTCCAGAGCTTAGTAAATGTGGTAAAGCTCTGCTGATTTCCATCATCCAATCATCATTTTTATTTTACTTGCACCTGATTGGGTATTCTTTACAAAGTGAAACTTTACCACATTTACATTTACTAAGAAAAAAAGAGTGAAACTGTACTTGCAAAGTGCACAGTATATTTGCCTTTAGTAAAACAACCTTGCAGTCTCCTACAAACATTCCTCCAGCCCCAAGCTCATACAGAGCTGCTGCAACACCCACATGGAAGAAAAATATATTTGAAACATATTTTTAAAATATTCTTCTCAAATATTTTGACATATATCTGAAATACTACAATTTTGGCCATATTCAATATATATATATATATATATATATATATATATATATATATATATATAAAAAGTATACATATATATATATACACACTGCATGTTGAAATACAAAATATATGAAAAATATTTTTAAAAATATATGTTTTTTAAATATATTCTTCAGGTTTTTTTTTACATATAAAAAAGTCATTTTAACATATATTTTTGCACACATTTGTAAATGCATTCCAAAAATTTAGATTTGTATCTTTAAAGACATACAGTATATTTGAAATGTATTTTTAAAAAATATTTTTCATATATTTTGTAATAAAACCACATTTCAACATACAGTATATATATAGTATATATATATATATATATATATATATATATATAATTTATTTATTGAAATATGTTAAATATGGCCAAAATTGTAGTATTTCAAATATATGTCAATATATTTGGGAATAATATTTTAAAAATATATTTTAAATATATTTTTTCTTCCATATGGGCAGGGCTGAAGGAAGAAAGCAGTGGACTATAGGTGGGGTGATATTATAGCACATTTGTGTTGCATTGGGATCTATGAGTCCCTGTTTTTGTAGTGTTTCAACCCTTGAGTACAGTCATCTGCTTTCCTCTTGTCCTGTGTTTCCCGGCCACGAACCGGACCGGCACCTTGCAGAGTGCACATCTATCGGCACCATTACATTTACACTGATCTCGCCTTGAGCGGTGTTTTCCTGTTTGTACCTAGTTTTCCCTCTGCTACGATGGGAGATGGAACTCATATTCTTTGCATTCACGGATCCTGTGAATGGACCTGTGAATAGATAACATGGCTATGTGGGTGGAGACTTGCAGAAAGGAAGGATGCAGGGAGAAGCACCCATGTAATTAAGGTAAGTGTATTTGTGGTGGGAGGGCTGGGGTGTTATGGTTGGGGGGGGGGGGAGGTAAAGGTTGCGGCATGTGACCATACATTTGTTCTGTGTGAATGTGGCAAAAAACCAAATGTAATTAGCAAGGATTTTATTCTGCTGGAACTCAGCTCCACCACCTCTGGCTCAGACCCTCTCCTTCCTGCTCACCACTATCATTACTAAAACACAGAAGTCCAGCTTCTGTGTTTACAAGTGACAGCTTGTCTCCCAACAACTCCCACAGATCTGATCTCTTGAGTGGCTCCCACTGAGTCCAGGATGGGGACAAGGGAGATGCAAGCGCTTGGGGTGCAGTGAGGATGCTGACACTCCCACTGGATGATCTCCCTGCAAGTGAGAGAGGCGGAGGCTCCTACAGTGTTCAGGGAGGAACTAGAGCCGGCTGGGTGCTTCAGCATAATACAGCTACAAAAGTAAGACATGTGGAAGATGGTGGAGCTTTTAAGGAGGTTTGGGGGGGTGGATGTGGGCAGTGAAGGGAGGTTGAACGCAGAGGTCAGAGCTGAGTGTAGCACACCCCTGAACTTTGTAATCTATATGTAGCGCACACCCAAACTCTACACGTAGTGCACCCCTGAACTCTGCGTTTAACCTCTACCAAAACTCTGCACTTTAATGCCCCATTAAGACTGGTAGTGAAATCTGACCACACCTACTATTTGATGTGGTTTGGAGGAAGTGTGTGTGTTTGTAGGGGGGGGGGGGTTTGTCGTGGTTGAGTTCCTGTGCTCGCCATGTTTTTTTCATGGGAATTTCTTTCCTATCTAGCGAGTAGCCAATGTGGTATTTTCCATTTTAAATCAATGGAAGACATTCGCTCACTAGGGAAAAAGGCTAAGGACATTTGTTTTTTTTGCCCCATCTGCAGAGAACAAAGTTACATGCATTTTTACTGGGGGAATTGCTATGTGTATTTTTTATAGATACACCCTATAATATTAGATTACTGCAAATCAATTATTGCAGATTTCATTCATCAAATGTGGAGACAGCTAATGAGATGTTTTATGCAATGTATGCAACATCTATCACTGCCAGAGCTCCATTATTAAACCACATGTGCAATCTCTAAGCTGCAAATGTAAATTCTTCTCTTACAATGACGGCTAGAATTGCAGTAACCTTTATAGCTCTACTCCACTGCGTCAATGGCAGCAAGATAAAACATTGTTCTCTGCTATAGGGAGAATCAAGTCCAATAAAGGTGAAATACAATTTCTATAGAATGTGAACCAAAGGCTCTATGTGTGTTTGTATATAGATGGAAGTATTTCTTGAGTAGAGCCATATTTATGATTGTTTTTATTTATATTTGTTTTTAATTTTCTTTTTTTTTTGCTTGTTGCCTGTCTCTTTTTGCCATTCAAGTGAGAACAGTGGGTGTTTATTTAATGCGTGTGGATTAAGCTGTGAAAGGTGCACATATTGAGCACTGAAATTACAGGGACTAAACAAATCTGCTACAGAAAGTCAAACAAGCTAATAATAGAGGTACCAGAGTATGCCTAAACTAAGTAATTGGAGCCACCTATTGTCAACAAGGAATTAGACATGCCAACTGAAGGATAAGATTGCCCCCTGCTGGACATACACGGAAGTAGTGCAAGCATCAAGACAGCAGTAATTTTACTTGCTGTACATACACTCTCCGGCCACTTTATTAGGTACACCTTGCTGGTGCCAAGAAAATATCCCCCACATCATTACAACACCACCACCAGCCTGAACCGTTGATACAAGGCAGGATGGATCCATGCTTTCATGTTGTTTATGCCAAATTCTGACCCTACCATCTGAATGTCGCAGCAACCAGTCTGCCGATTCTCCTCTGACCTCTGACATCAACAAGGCATTTTCGTCCACACAACTGCCGCTCATTGGATATTTTCTCTTTTTCAGACCATTCTCTGTAAACCCTAGAGATGGTTGTGTGTGAAAATCCCAGTAGATCAGCAGTTTTTGAAATACTCAGACCAGCCCCTCTGGCACCAACAACCATGCCACATTCAAAGTCACTTAAATCCCCTTTCTTTCACATTCTGATGCTCGGTTTGAACTTTAGAAAGTCGTCTTCACTACGTCTACATGCCTAAATGCATTGAGTTGCTGCCATGTGATTGGCTGATTAGCAATTTGTGCTACCAAGCAATTGAACAGATGTACCTAATAAAGTAGCCAATAAGTGTATATTATTCATTCTGTTGCTACAAGATAATATATGCATTTACATATTGATAATATATTTAACAATGCATTCTAGTCTGAATAAAAAGCACATTATTTCTTTAACAAAGGCACTGTTGAAAGAAAACAAACCAGATTACTACATTATCTACTTGATTGATGTAGGGAAGAGTCCTGTATGCACCCTAGGACCTGTGAAATATCTACACCTGGCCTCTCTGTTACTTTTACACTAACAATATAGGAGACACAGAGAAAATGGGGAAGCTCCTATAAGTGAGCTTTCTGTTCCTGGTTAAGACATACTCAGCAATGACATGCTGAGGAGGAGTGCCAACACACAGGACCAGGTGCGGACTGACCATTTGGAAACTTGGGCACTGCCCAAGGGCCCGGGGTCAGTAGGGGGCCCCATGAGATGCCCCTGGTACCTTTTTCATAGGCTTTCTTGATTTTGGGCAAGGACACAGGGGCCCCATGATCCCCTATTGCCTGGGGCCTCATGAATTGTCAGTCCGCCCCTGCACAGGACGTAGTATTAAAATTCCAGCATGAGTGGGTGACAGATCTGAATGTGCAGAATGGGTTCATGTTTTGCAAAAATTTTGATTATTGACAATTAGATTTTATGACAATTTTACAAATAAGTAGTTTGTTAAGCTCAACTCCATACACCAGAAAAAATACAGTTGCAGTGGTGCCTCCACACTGCAAGAATGAAAATGGTACTAAACCCACAACAGTAAAATCAGTCTGTACATGCATTAAAGCTTGCTTGTTATACTCACTTTGGAACCTAAGGGGTTAATCCTTCACATTGTGTAAAACGGCTGTTTGATTGTTCTTCTCTGGTCCTCTTCTTCTACTGCCCCAATCCATTTGCTGATAGAATAAAGCCTGGGGGCAAGCTGCACACGCTCAGTTTGGTGTGGATTGCTAGACAGTATTTTTTCCCTGGGAGTGTGCATGTGATTAGCACAGGGCCAATCAGCACTGTCCAGACAGAGAGTCAGGGGTTATGCAGCCTCATAGGACAATCACGGAAGAATGAAAACTCCTCCTACAAGCTTTAACCAGTGCTCTGCTGGACACTGATAAAAGTCACAATACTGCTCTAACCACTGATGAGAGAAGGTATTTAGCAGTTTATATTTACTAAAATAATTGCATTTCCTTGTTCTGTGTACTGTGGGAGACCAGATATAATGAATGCAGGGTCCTGGGCTTAGTAACACTTTAAATGCTTATCAGGTCTAAGGTTGAGGAATAGTAATACTTATCATATCCCTTGCTCA